TTCCTTAATCCTCATATAGTGGATTTAGAAAAAGAACAAGGAAGCTCTTTGTTTTGATGCTGTCAGGACACTTCAGGTTAGAAAACAGTGAACCCTGGACCATTCCTGGACTGTCTCATGGCAGCGGGTACCACTCAGCGCTGCTTGGCATCTGTCTAATTGCAAATGGCTCTCTGAGAATCTTTCCTACTTGTTGTAACTGCAAGTAAGCAACTGATTATTAATTCTGATTAGTCATTACTGATGCTTCATAAATGTACTGCTGCACAAAGAACAGGAGGAAACGTGTGTCCTTCACTTGGAACACGTTCTTTATAATTTCGATAGTGTGTTGTGAAGAAGTGGCTTCAAATACCTCTCGTAGGCTGGGCTCATCTGTTCAGAAAGAGAATGTGGAAGGGAATTAATGGCAATTAAGAATGGAAAGGCTATAATTTTTTTCTTAGGAACAGTGTCTGAAATACAGAAAGCTAGACTATTAAAAAAAAAAAAAGCAAACAACAAACCACCAGCTATTTCAACTATGTGCAAGATCTTGTTCCCTATAGTATGTGCTGTCCTTCATAACCAGCACACAACTCATCCAAATGGGACAGCATACTGTTTAACTTCAAAAAATATGCTTGGACCTGAATGTTTGCTGAAGGCAAATTTTGTGTTCAGCTGTAGAATTTCAAAGAGCTGCTGATTACCACAGTAAAAATCTCACTTAGGGCAAAATGAGTTTTCAAACAGAGCAATGCATATTTACATCATGCAGAATTTTACATTACTCCACAGTATGGATGAATTAAGAAGAGAAAGTAAAGTTCTAAAGACCATGAAGGATGAAATTGCCTTGTTTAACATTTATACTCATTCTGGTTAAACATATTATTAAAAAACTCAAGTTTTGCACTGGTATCAGTGTATATAAAATACACTGTATTTAGTGCTGTTTCATAATATGTAAACAGACTTATTTTAGCTTATTTTGTACAATGTAACCTCAGTGATACAAATTTAAAAACCAAAACCACATGGGTGGCACATGACAGCCCAGCTCCCTGGCACAGGCTCTAGTACTCTGCAGGCTCTTAACTCATTTTTAGGTTAAATGTCTGAACTCAGACTACGGGTGGCACGACTGGAGCCTCACAGGTCATTGTTCAGAGTGAGGTAGAAGGAATTAAAAGCTCATGTCTTTTATCTGTTATCTGTATTACTTTTATTAGAAGGAAGGCAAACGTTTTCTGCCCTGGCTAATGGGGAAGTTGGCTGGCTGTAACCCATCCATACCTTGTTGGTGGGGGACTTCTGAGCCCACTCATAAAGCCGCTGATAAACCTGCCCGTCGTAACTGCCCAGCGCGGAGTTCAGGCTCTTGTCTGTGAAGTCAAAGGCATCCACCAGTGGAACTGCATCCTTCCTACAGAGCAGAGCAGTGACATCTGTGTTACTGAAGCAGCTATTCCTTTGTAAGGTGGGAAGATAAATCAAAGATAAACTTGGAAGTCAGTTGTCCAGCTTCCTCAGCCTAGAAGGTCTGCGCCAGTTTTCCTCCTTGTCTATACTGGGGGAAAAGCCTGCTTGTTTTGATTCGTCAGAGGCATCTCTAGGTGACCCTGCCTTGGCAGGGGAGTTGAACTAGATGATCTCCAGAGGTCCCTTCTAACCCTAACAATTCTGTGATGTTCTACTAATGCCCTGAGTTGTCTACACTGTTGAATGGGTGTTGCAGGGTCTTGTAATCATCTGGGCTCTGTCCCTGATTCCTCAATTCAGGACTCAATATCATGTCAGATGTTTTCTCAGCAGTCTCTGCCAGTTCTTTCTTTTGATTTTTGTCTTGTTTTACTTTTCTCACACTGTGTGTGTTTGTCTTACAAAATGGAATAAGGTTGCCATTGGATTGATGTGAAGTGCTTTGCTGATCTCCAGCCTCCATCTACCTTTCAGTGTTTCTATTACCTCATCATGAGGTGTTGAGGTCTTTTATTCTCTTTGTGGCTGTAAGAGCAAAGCAACCCTGACCCGCACCAGGGGCCAGTCTGACAGCAACTGAGAGCTACAGCATAGGCAGCTTCTTCTAAGCAGGAGATGGTTTCTCTTTCCTTGTCCTCCCACTGTCCTGGGTGTAGGAAGTCGTGCTGGCTGTACCTCACATCCAAGGTACCAGGATGCAAAATGTTTTGCTCAAATGTTGGCATTTGCATCTTCCAGTTCCTTCTGAGGAAGGGCTGTTTGGGGGTTTGGGAAAGGCTGAGATTTTGCTACAGACCAGAAGTGTTTGTATTCTTTCTACTAATTGTAAATGCATAAATACTCACTTCGTTCTTGAATCCTGTTAACAAGGCATGGACTAACACAGAAGTTGCTATGAATTCCAGAGATGACAACATGTTAGTCTTTTGCAAATGTTATGCTCATCACTTAACTCAGATTCTATGATCAGTTCTGAAAAGCCTTGCTCTTTGGCTCAGCCCCATTCAGCCCTTGCTTGTGCTGTATTCTTGTTTCTCTCCAGGTGGCTTAAGTAGAATTTTACATAAAACTCACTTCTCTGCACCACAATCTGTTCTAAATAAATAGCACTGAGTAGTGAAAGAGGAATGCTTTGTCAAAAGGCCTTTGTGAGTGTTGTGGTAAGTGAAAACCTTAACATAACTCAGAGTTCACAGAGTTAGTGACAAATGGTGTCGAGCAGATGCATCTGAAGTAGCTGTAGGCAGGATTGTTTGGGTACCAGTTGCAGCTCAGCCATGGCAACAGAGTGGGCTGTATTAGCTGCAGCTTGAGCAGACTCTGCAGTGTGTGATGGGTTGCTGTGGCTGCCTCCTGCCAGTGCTGCTCTGACTACGTATTTTCCTGTTTTCGCTCTACTGAAAATGGTATAAAGTGTTCAGGACTTCTTCATTTATAATTTAAGATTTCATGTTACAGAACTTTCAGAGATTGCAGAGGAGCTGGACACTTGTCACGGTCTGTTTTACCATGAAAACAAGCTCTGTGTAGATGTTTCAATCAATTTATAGTGCTGCCAGGCAATGAAAATAAAAACCGAACGAGGTGAATTGACTGTGGAGATGTTGCCATAGGTACAGTAGCACCATTTTATATCTATTACAGGGACAAACTGTGTGTCTCCTGCTGGAGCAGCTCACCGAATGACAGCCAGGAGGTCCAGGTAGGATGCTGTGACCATGTCCATCTGAGCTGCAGATATGTATCCATCATGCAAGAAGGCCCCTGCATTCGAGAAGATCCCGTGTAGTGCAAAGAGGTCACAGAGATGTTTCATAACCCTCTGGATGCCAGCCTTGGTCTCGAGTTTTTCCACAGTTTCTGCAAAGTTTTTCACTGTGATGTAGTGGCAGTGAGCCTGGAAAACAAACGCAATCAGCAGTGAATGCACCTCAAAACACTCTTAGTAGGCCAAGTGACTCAAATGTTCTTGCAAAGAATATAAAACCTTTTCATTTCCCTGGCATTTCTCCAGTCTGTATCCTTTGTTTGCTGGGTGACCAGGCCTTTTGCATTCATGTCTTACAGCCACAGCAGACGACAGAACTAGGCTTGTAAAGAGTCAACACTGTGCTATTTGTAAACTCTAGAAAACTGCTTCAGAAATCAAGTTAGTACCTACTCTAAATATTTCTGATTAATATCCCAAAGAGTTTGTGTGAAGGAAATACATTGGAATGTGCTTGTGTTGACCCCTAGCAAGTGAATCTTGATTGTACATCAACAGAAGAAAACTCTTTAGTTGAAGACCTCGGGCTCAGGGTACTTTGGGATCAGTGTCTACAGGGCTTTGGCTCTGGAAACACCATTGTCACAGAAGAACAATCCAACTTATCTCCTGCTTTTGTGGTTTTAAGAAAACTGGTAATTTCTGGGTCAGACACCAGTAGAGTCCCTGACTGCCAAATTACAAAACTATTAGCTGAGGTCCAGAGCTAACGAAGCAGGTTGACCCCACCTGTCTGTGGGGTGACTCTTGCTATGCTGACACTGCTGTGGGTGGTTGTTGGTGGTGGGATCTGTGTGGCTCCACTCCCCCACTGCACAGTTCTCCTCCCAGCTGTGGGTGTAAGCGTGGCACACCTGCACTGAAGCTCTTCCTGCTGGCACGGTGGAGCAGCATGGACTGCAGAACCTGCCTGAGAAGCTGAGTGTCTCCTCAAGCAATTAACGTGTGGGGAGTCTGCCCAGTGTCTGAGCTACTCAGCTGGGAGCTGGCAGGCATCAGCTCATAGAGCTGCTATGCCAGTCGTGTGGGTGAGTCTCCAGGGAAAGTGTGGGATAAGAAGTAAATACAGAAGTGCCCCAAGAAGGCAGCAGTATATCAAGATTTTAAAGTTATGGGGCAAACTCAAGGGGTTTGGGTGACTCTTCCTGTCCATGAATTATTTAAGAAACTTTGGGGTCCCAGATCTCATTTTCTGAAGAGTCTAACAGCACAGTCACCACGGACAGTACCACAGCCAGCCCTCTGCATATGTTAGGCTCTTCAGAAATGGTTTATTTCTGACTAATCCCATGTCTAGGTTCATTCTCCTCCATGCTCCTCAGAGAGAGTTGGATTCTATCTCCTCTGATATATGATCTCCCCTCCTCTAAGGTCCAGAGACCTTGGCCCCCCCATTTGAGTGGGTGCAGGAGGAAAGAACTTGTTCAGGTTTGTATGCAGGGAGTGCTGGTCAGAGTTTTTTCTAAAGGTAATCTTGAACAGGAACATTTTGCTTCTGTTTCATGGCCCTAAAAATATATTTACATTTAAACAATTATTGGGAAGGTAATTTTTAAAAGTCACTTTGTTCATGGGAGCTTTCCTTTGTTTTTGAGGCAAGTTTCTCTGCTTATTTTCAAGGTCACAGCATTGAATATTTGCTGCTTCCAGTGAGTCTGTCTAATTGAATATGTGGGGTGATGCCCGGTGGACAGGTGACCACAAAAAATGCTGCTACTGAGATCAAGTCTTTGCTCCCTTACTCAGTGAGTTCTTGTTTTGAAGGATTTGTATCTGTGCTTGTGTTAACGCTTCCCATGGTTGTGAAAGGATCTTGGCTGTCGCTGAGAAAGGTTTGACTCATCAAGGACTTCATCTAATTGACTGACTACAAGGGGGTTGGTCCCTACTCTGAAACCACCACGATGGTGGTGATCACCCCTGCCAGGTATGTGTAGGGTTCCTTTTTCCCTGTCAGGGGCTTCTTGCTGAGTCCATTTCAGTCTGGCTGAATGGTAGATTACAACGAGATGTTTTTCATTAAAAATTCAGTGAAGTTAAAATCATGGATCTGTTTCAAAACCTTCCTTTCCTCAGCAAAGGAAGGAAGGAAGGAAGGAAGACCTTCACCATAATTGTAGAGGAATTGCACTTAATTGCATATTAAAAAAAAAAAATATTTTTTGGAGATACAGAAATATTGATGGGTTTAGTTTTCATTGAAATTTAGGGATTTTCTCCCCTCCTGCTTTGTTTTCTGCTTAGTTCTGCACTAACTCACCCTTGTTTTGGGGAACAAATGTTGCTGTCCCAATCCTACTTCATCTGAAAGCATGTGTTATTAATCTGACTTTGATTTTTTTTTCCAGTCATAGTTAACATTGCACTTATCACTGGTTTCCATTGTTTTCCCTGCAGTTATCTTTCCTTGGGAGAGGCAGATGGAAGAAATACCAGGCATGTTTCACCCTTGCTGTGACTCTACCAGCTTTCAGTGGGGTGGCTTTGGTAAGACTTCCCTCTGGGAGCCAGAAATGTTGGATTCTAACAAAAAGATGAATGTTGGCTGGAGATAGTGGGTTCTTGTTTCAGGATATGGGATGCCTGATTCTGCTAGCAGTGGTAGCATAACTGTGAAGGTACTTTTCTCCCTTTCATTTCTTCTCATAGTCTTTTCTACCTGGCCTATTCAGAGAGCAAGTTTTTCAGATCAGGAATTGCTTCTTGCTATGATTTTTCCACCATGCAGATCACAATGAGGGTCTTTGTGGTGTCCCTTAGATGCCAACAGGAAACAATAAATAGCACTGAGGCTTTAAGCTAATCCTGCCATTTCTTTGCATGTTGCATCAAAAAGACAAACATCAAATAAGCAGATAAATTTTGCTAACCTTTGCAGCCTGCACCAGCTGCACCGTGCACTGGTTCCACGCGTCGTACTTCTTGGCTCCAGACTGGATCAAATCCTGTAGTTTAGCTGCTGTGCTGCCTATGAGCCTGGAAAATTGAAAAAGCATAAGGCATACTGTTTGTGGATGGAGCAGCCCACATGCACACGGTTCTCAATCGGAGTCGTGTGTGCTTGGATGGCAAACTGGCATTTCTGACACCTGGAGTCATCTACACTGAGTGTGAGCGAGCTCAGATCACACAAAATCTGAGTACAAACTGGGGAAGCACCCAGACCATCCTGGTATTGGAGGATTTCTGCCTTCTCAGCTTCCAGGGTGGTTTACCAAGGGGTTGGCTGAGCTTTTCCTGTGTCGTGTTTGTAAGGAGAATTTGCAAAACAAATAGTAATACTGGACTGCTCTTACATTATGTTTCTCCTTTTCTACACAGGGATTCAGATCCTGCTCCCATTGATTTTGCAAGAGTGCCTCTGGTTTTACAGTGGTTTCAATGACAGCAGGGTTGTCTGTTTACCTGGTTTTCAGAGATGACACCTATACAGCCCATAACTGCACAAAATTCCAATGAGACCACTCATGGTACCATTATTATTTGTGTTGAGTGGCTGAATGTGTAGTTGAAAGGCTACAGACAGAATGAGAAGCTGTGTGTTTACTGTGGTGCTAATTGAAAACAAACATCCCTTTCTCAGGTATGTGAAATTTTAACATTCTGTATAAAATTGCTCAGGATCCAGTTGCCTAAAGGTTTTTCTGGATGGCAATTCAGTGATGTGGTCTGGGATTTACTTAAACGGTGCCACCAACTCTGTGGACGTAGTTGTTTGGTAGCACGTGGCTTAAGAACTTCTGCTCCATACTGAACATCTGACATGGCTGTTAATCCTTTGTAGTCTTCCTTTTCTCTTTCAGGAACGGATGGTGCCACTCCTTGTGTAACTTATTTTACCTCCCTTGAAAGGAAGGAAGAAGCTGAGCCCTTAACAGATTTCTGATGTCTCCCATCCTCTGTACTGACCTGAGTGCCACGTGTTGATAGGCCTCAGTGTAAATATGTGGACTGAGAAAATCCGACTTGTTCTTGGCTGGACACTTCCCAGGTTTCACTGCAGCCAGATAAGTGACAGATGGTGGAACAGGCTGGCCAGCACTGGCTGCCATGAAGCACTTAATCAGGAACCTGGGAAGAGAGCAAAGTCAGAGCAGGGTATGGTGGTGATCTGCACACAGCAAAAAGTAAAGTGGGAGCAGGTAAGGAGCAGCAAGGTGCTGCAGTGGTCCAGAATGGACTTGAACGAGTAATGACCTTTTGTTTTGCATGTTATTTGCAGTAACCTGATCTGTGATGCTCTCAGGGGTAGCCTGTCTACTGTACTTAACACTACAGCAGCCTGTAGTGATGGGTTTTTCAGCAGAAACTTGCTGTGGCTATTAGCAGTCTCAGCAGCATGGTGATTAGATACATTATCAACTTTGCAACCTGAGTTTTAATGGTCTGGGAATCTTAGTGGTGGTTTGGTCTTCCCCTCTGTGATCCCCAACACGCACTCACATTATTTTAACAAACATGAGACCCTTTGTCAGAGATTGTGTACAAGGAGAATTCCCCACTCCCTTATTTTCTGGCACCTCTGCTGTGAGCTAGACTGACCAGGTCTGGAATTAAAAAGTTACAGCATTTCTCTTGACCTTGCTGTTGATCTTGCTTCTTGAAGAAGCAGTAATGAGTGCAGAAGTGTCTGCATGCAAGCAAAGAGCTATGTGGTTGCTCTGTCCCTGGGAAGTGCACTGGTTTTCTCCTTCTAGTAAAAACACACATTACTAAAAGTTCAAGCAGCTGAAGTTTTTCTCATATATTTCATGTACTCTGGATAAACATCAGACTGGGTGTTCAGAGGAGAATGGTGTTCTTGGAGCATGACTCATCCATCTACTTTCAGGATCCAACAAATTTGTTTTCTCTGAATCTCACTTTACCAATATTGTGTTCTGGCCTCACTTTTACCAGTATTGTGTTACGTTGTACCATTGTTACACTGGTTGCTTAAAAAATAAACCACAAAACTTGTATAGCAATGTGTTTGCTGTGCTAAGAGGCAAAGAGGAAAATGAGGTTATGCAGAGCAGCACCTGCATACGTCCCCAAACCAAAAATAGAAGAGATAATCCAATTCCCACACAACCTCCATGCCTGTTAGACAGAAGACATGAATAGTTTATGTCCTGAGCTATATTTTTAGAAGGTGCTGTGAGAAAGGAGTAGCTGGTTTTACTGGTTTCGGAGAAGTGGTAGAGGCTGAATAAATGAGGGGACAGGCTTTTAGATGCACATATTTGAATTGTTACCTGGCAGTTTGCAGGAGCAAAATGGTGTTTTCCCCTTCATAAATACAAGAGGCAAGTATTTTGGTATACAAAGAAGGGAGTCCACTGAGCAGGGAGTAGCCATGTCCCCCACAGGCCCGGAGGCAGATCTCCACTGCTGCAGTGGAGTGGTGAGTGATCACAGCTTTAAAGCCCGAAGACAATGCATGGAGCTGTTAAAAAACAAAAAGAGAAAAAATCCAAAAGCAGAATGTTACTGGTGGAAGTTCTAAGTTACTGGTTCTAAGTTACTGGTGGATTGTTCTAAAACAATCCTTAGAATAAATTTCCTTTTTTAATCTTGTGCGATATCTGGACATGAAATCCCTGTCGGGTCCCCCTTTGCTTCCTGGTGCACCCAGCTCCCTGAGCCTGGCCTTTGGTGTCTGCCTGGGATGCTGCACACCCTCCTGCTGGGCATCCTGTAGTCAGTTTACGCATTTTGGGGTTTCTACCAACCAGCTGTGGCTTCGGCCACCTTTGTTCAGAGTGTGTTTCATTTCAAGCACCCAATTGCAAAATCTTCTGTTCCATCTAAAAAGTCACATTTTTGATTTTGGCTCAGAAGTGAGTATTTGCATGTGCATTTGAAGTTGTAAAGTAAAACTTTGTGCCACCAACCACTTGGAACGAGGTTTTAGCAAATGGACACGCTTTTCAAGGACTTTTCGCTCTGCAATACTGTCCATAACAAAAAATTTGGGGCGGTAGAGCGAATGCTGTTGCTGACTGGTTGTGGACCTGGGACACACCATTTAATCTCCTAGTGCTTCTTCTTTCTCCAGTTCTCTAGTGAGAGGAATGCTTGTCCAGTTTGCTAAAATCCTTTGATATCCGGAGATGAGAAGTGCTGTATGAGCTAATCCTGCTGCAGCTCACCTCTGGCAGCATGTCAAAGTTCTTCCTCTGGATCTCTCTGTACCCCCTGTCAAACAGCTCCTGCAGGTAATCGTTGATGAAGTGAAAGGCATAGGCTGCTGCCAACTGGGGCAGCAGTTTCTCTTGCTGAGTCTGGTAGTCAAGGATTTTTGCTTCTTGTTCCCTGTTGGAAGACAGTTGATGAAGCAGGGAAAGTGTGGACACAGCCATAGCTATTGTTTCAGCTGCAGAATGAAAAATGGCATTTTTCATTACCAAGAAGCAGTGTGTGAACAGGACTGAGCTGATGGTGTGGCAGCAAACCTGCCCAGCTAGCTGAGCTGTTGGAGAAACAAACCCTTATGAGAAAAAAAAAAAAGGGATTTTTCTGCTGTGTTGATGAACCAGCCTAACAACACAGAAAAGCCTCAGTGCAGAGGAACTGTGAGAGAGGAGAAGGATGAAGACTTCAAGGACAGCAAGTTGTTCCAGGGGAGATGGTGTTACTATACCCTGAAAAATTTCTGCTTTTCAAACAGAATCTTTGTGCCCTGGCTGTAGATAGGTTCCTCTGAAAATGTCTAAATTATTTTGAGCTTTTTTTTGGATGTTCTTTACCTCTTTTTCTGTGGTTAGTACACTCAGGACTTCAGTCGTTGGGATTGGTTATTACAATTGTTCAGCATGCTCCGCTCTTCTGTTTGGTTTGTGCTTGCACCAAACCACGTTCTCATTAGGATCCTTCTGCTTTTGACATGAGATCTAAATGGAAATTTTTGTAATTCATTCAAATTAAAAATAATAGGGATTCTTACCAGATTAATACAATTTGGTGTTGTAAAGTGTGGATGTTGGATTTCAGGATGTTGGAAGGTATTTTAACGTTGCACCCACTAGTAGGATGCTATGGAATAAGAATTCAGCAACTTGTCTGCTTTGTCTGGATTCTGCTGAGATACAGGATTGCACTAGGAGAAGGCCAGTCATAAAAAAATAAGTTGCCTGTGTGAACTGCTGAGCTATTCAAACTATGAAACTTATCTTGGAAAGAACTGTAAACGTTACAGAAGCTCGTTAATGTAAATAACGGGGGAGCATGTTCGTCATGCCCTGTCTGGGCCAGGAAATCAGCCGGTGATGGGCTGAAAGATAAGGTGAAAAGCAGAAGCACAAACTGGTGCAGGGGAACATGGTGTGTAGTCCCCACCCCACTGCTGCAGGCTGTGTGGCATTACCCAGGCTTTAACTTGGACTGCCGGCGAACCACGGAGTAGCGGATGGCAATGGTGCAGGCTTTCATGAGGGGGGTCAGAACCTCGTCTGAAATGAGGGAAATGCGCACTGTAGTCATGGTGAAATAATTAATCTTCTGTGACCCCTGTCTTATGTAGGTGCCGTCTGGTCGAACCTGGAGTAGGGAGAGGGTGTTAGATGGCTGTGTAAGGTGGCTGTGTAATCACTAAGCATAGAGTAAAACAGACAGAAAAATCCTTTGCTGAATGTAAACAACGTTTTTGTGTGTGATGGATGGAAGATACTTGTTTAAAGAGACAAACTCTTACTGTTTCTGGCTGAGATAGGTTCTGCCAGCCTCTGAATGTGGAGTTCTTGACACCAAGTTTCATTTAGGATTCAGGTAAATTCTGCCCTTGATAAAACCTCAGAGGCTTGCAGACACCTCAAAGGAAGATTTCTGTCCTAAATTTAGGCAGGTCCCTGTCGTCTCTCTGGTTGTGCAGTGAGTATGATGGGTGAGTCTGTGATGTGAGTCCACACATACCTCACAAAACTTGCTCAGCATGTTCTCCCGGGGGATGCGCACGTTCTTCAGCATGAGGTAGCCATTGTCAATGGCCTCAAAATTCATTTTGGGACCGATGTCTCCGGCAGTTATGCCTGCAGTAGGAGAAAACAGAGCCTGCTTACTTCCACTTGAACTCTTTTCTCCCCATTTGGTGTCAGGCTGGGGATTTCAAGGGAAGGGCTTCTTTCCCAGCATGGAAGATCTCGCCTGAGGGGTGAAACAGGCATTCGAATGCCTTGTGGTAGTTTGTTTCCATGATCCATCAACAGATGGATCTGTGTTGGCCAGGGCCAGAACTCAGGTGTTAATGGAGAGGTGCTCAGAGCAGGCCAGGCTTCTGGTTACTATGAGGGCTTGGTCTGAATATGCCTGAGGATATGTTAGATTTCTCTTTAGATAAGAAGGTTGAGGTTAATGATAACTACGCCTTGGGTATCTGTCTTGGCTTGGTTTTGGCAGTTGTAACTCTCCCTGGGCCCAATGTTTTAGAAAACATTTAAGGGCAAAATAGGCAGAGCACCTGCACAAGGGCTGTGGTGTCTGGGGTTGTTTACCTGGGCAGAGTGAATGGTCCTCAAGGCTGCGTATCTGCACGATGAAGGGATGGATGCCATAGCACTTCCCATGGATGTACAGCTGAGCAAAGACCACTGTGTGGGTCGCTGATCGTCCCACTGCAAGAAGAAAAACAGCCCCATGCCCTTAAGACGAGGTACAGCACAAACACTTCCACGGTTGAGAGTGGTCAGTGTAACTGTGTGTTCAATCCCACGAAGGTAGGGGTCAGCACAGGGGTGAGCCACAGCTGCTGGAAGCCTAAAGCTGAGCCTGCTCTTGGCTCTCAGAAGCTGCACCATCATTCTGCCACTCCTGCTGCCCATGAGGCTTGGATTAATAGTTTTGCAGGAGAATATGAGAAAAAATAAGCAGTTAAAGCTCATGCAGTGCTGAGAGAGTGGGAAGTGCTGTGGCTGCTGCAGTGACTCCAGTTATTTTCTGTGAAATACCTTCCTGAAGGGAGCAAAGAATTTCACACTTGAATCCTTTATGCTGAGACTGTCTGATGACTTGAATCCTTTATGCTGATGACCTCCCTGCAGGTTTTGGTTGCCTGAGTATTATTTAGAAAGAGAAGGTTTATTCCTGCAGAGGCAGGAGTTTGCCTGAGTGAAGGTCTCCAGCCCTGCCACCCATGGGGTTTTGGTAGAGGATGGTGGCTCCCTTCTGGCCTCAGAACTTGGACAAACCCCTTTCTTGCCTCTCAGTGAGTGCATCTCTTACAGAAGTCTTCTGCTAGCACCTGGACCCTCAAACATGGAGCTTAAGCAGGGTAGATGGAGTAAGTGAAGGGGACAAATGAGGAAACCCAAAATATTTTGTGCGGTACTTACTGTCTCCAGGCCACCACTTCATGGCAGAGATCTTTGGTGTGTTCAGTATAAACTCCTGAGTAGCAATATCAAAGACTGCTGTTGTTTCCAAACCCTGAAGATATGTGCCTTTAAAAAAAGAAATTTAAAAAAAAAATTATCTCCTGGTGTAACACAAGGATGGAGGGAGTGAAGGGTCCCTGGGGGCTGGTGTGGGCATTGTCAGGGTTTTGTGGTTTACCCTTCTGACAAGAACCACAGGACAATGCTTGCAATGACCCCACACCATGTCTTGCACAAATCTCTTGAGCCCTGTGGTACTTGGGCATCTGCTGGGCTCCTGGTGACAGCCATCAGCTGGACAAGCTGCCTGGCTGATCCCCTCCCCTGCTGGTGACTGCCTGCTGTCTAACCATGGGCTTTCACCCTCACCCTTGTTAATTTTTCCATATTGGCAAAACCAAAGCCAGTGCCTCTCCAGCTTGCAAAGGAATGCTGAGGACATCGACCTCTAACATGCAGGAGGCATTTCCACCCAGCCACCCCCCTCCCCAGGGAAGGATGGACAGTTTGGACTCAAATTTCCATGATTCCATGAGCATTTGGCTGCAGGCTTTTGTCCTAAGGAAATGCTGTGTTTTTCCCACAGCCTTACCGTGTCCCAGTTCAGTCTGGGCGTAGCTTCCAATGAGCCGGAGCTGGGTGGCAAGAGGAATCCACTTGGCAATCTGCTTGTCAGAGCCCAGCACTGAAATACTTCTCATGAAGACACGGTGAAGGAGAAACGCAACGTCCCCTGACAGTGCCCTGTGGAGAAGGTACAAGGGGTATTTTTAAAGGGGTGAAGTTCCAGGCATGTGATGAATGAATGAGGCAGTGGCCCTGTAGTGATCACCAGACGGTACCACCTGCTGCCTTTTGATTTCTGCTTTGTCATACTTTATCCAGCAGCCAGCAGCAGCACAGTGTTGCAGGAAAAGAGCTCTTCCAAGCTGCTTTTGTTCCTTCTTTCATATCAGTTTGCTTAAGTGTTGCTCGCTCATTATTTCAGTTGTTCTTGGAGGAATTATCTGTTCTGAGTAGCAGATGCTCAGCTAAAAACACAGCCCGGCTCCAAAGCTCCTGTGGCTCTGAGGCTTGCGAGCCCTTCATATCTTTATTTTATTTCCTGATTATTTAAGTAATATTTTGAGGCTAAACTAAAGAAGTCAAAAAAACCCCAAAAAAAAAACCACCCTTCTTAAAAACCCCCAAACCCTGGCAATTCACTGTGGGGCACATTAGACTGAATTACACCTGTAGGTATCTGGATTTTTTGAGCCTTCCCATTCTGGGGAAATAGATTGGTATGTTGGGTTTGTTGCTGTACTTTTTGCTGCGTGTTTGTTTTCTGTTGTTGTCAGTGAACAATACTGGGGTTCATGGAGATTTGGCCTGACTTGACATGTTGTTTTCTTGTGGGAAAATTCAAATACATCTGTATAACACCTGGTTTATTGTCTGGTCAGGCCCTTTGCCATCACCCTCTGCATACATCCTAAAAAGCACTATTCCAGAAACTGTGTATGGGAATTGGGTACAGCCATTTCCATGGTGCAAATCAGAAATTAATCTGTTTTAAGCTTCTTATGTGTGTGAGAAATCCTAACAAAACATGAGGAATACAGTCCCTCTTCCTGGGATTCCTCAAATATGGTTGAATCACCTCACACTATAGGTACATGTACAAGTAAGTGGCTGTGCTGTTCTCAGTAGCTGGGTGGCTGTTAGCACATTGCTTTACTGCAGTGCTCTAGTGAGCATCTCCTTCCACATAGATACCTTTTATTGTTAACAAATGACTCTGACCTTTCTTTTATACTGGCCCTGAGAGAGAATCAATCATGCTGAAACAGTGGGGGGAAAAATATGAACAAAGAAGTTAAAAGGAAATTGCTCTGATTAACAGAAAATGACTTAATGAATCCTTGGCAGCCTGTCCAGAAATAACGTTCCTTTAGCTGCAATTTGAAAAGCTCGATTTTAAATTGTGCGAGTGATTCACTGTGCCTGGCACCGGGAGCACCGGGATTTTGTCATAAGAGCTTGGTGCTCACCTGGTGTTTCATCAGGCAAGAGCTGCCCTGCCAGGCAGCTCTGCTCCTAATCCAGCAAAATGGGACAACACAGGGCTGTCCCTGCCACAGCCCTCAGCATCAGGGGGCCTGATAAAAGCACACCTGGGTGGGAGAGGGGGTGGAATTTCATCAGGTTTTAAAATCTGCTGGGATTTCTTTTTTCTACTGAGGGAGGAGTGGAGAGATGCTTTTAAATGGGAATATAATGATCAGGTCCAAGAGCTCTTGATGGAAGAGTTCCACCTTCATTAGTCCCGCTCACTGTAGGTGGTGTAGAGTTTAGCATAAAAAATTACAGATGGAGACAAACCTTTTTGCAGGGCCTGTCACCATAGGGCAAGAGGTAATGGTTTTAAACTAAAAAATGTAGATTTAGACTAGATATAAGGAAGAATTTTTTCTCAATGAAGGTGGTGAAACACTGGAACAACTTATCCAGAGCGGTGGTGGACATCCCATCCCTGCAAACATTCCAGGTCAGGCTGGAAGGGGCTCTGAGCATTCTGATCTAGATGAAGATGTCCTTGCTCACTGCAGTGTTGGACTAGAGGACTTTTAAAGGTCCCTTCCAACCCAAACTGTGCTAGGATTCTATGAAATGCTGGAAAGTGGCTCTGAGTGTCAGTGGTGAAGTGTAAGGGCCTTTGCACCTCTGATGACACTTCTGAACTTGCACCTTCCTGCTGGGGATGTGACCCCACCAAAGAGCAAAGACCCCACCAGGCAACAGCGAGCCAAGAATTTATTTAGCAAAGGGAGAAAGAAGGAGGGGCAAGTAATTGAATTGTGGAGCTCAACTCCACACAAAAAGCTTTAAGAAAACTTTAGAAGGAAAGGATTGTGAAAATATTTTATTCCCATTTACTCCCAAAAACTAAGGTGAGTTTTTTCTTTCTTTCCTTTTTTCCCCCCCTTTAATATAATGTGGGTTTTCTAGATGGACAAAATGTTATCTTTTCTTTAGTTGGAAGTCAGTAATGTAACTGAAACACTTCCAACACTGGTTATACATTTAAAAATGTCAGAGGGGTGGTATGAGAGCTGTAGCACAAGTAAGGAGCTTGCTGAAGTGGAAATATCATATTGTGGCTGTGAACTGCTGTGATCTATCACGCTGTACCCATGTGCTGCTCTCTGAGAAGTTCCCTGCCATTCCCTACCATTTTCCCTTTTCCCAAGTGTGCTGCTAAAATAAAAACCTGCACCATGTTTTTATCCAAAGCTACTCTGTCAGCTGTTGGTCTCTCCCAGCCTTTGCTAAAGCCGATTCTTGTAGGCATCCAAAACTTGGAAAAAGTCAGTTGTACATGAACAAAAAATAAATAGAAATCACCTGTAAATGTACTTATATTCAGGTCCATTCTCAGTCCATCCCATCTCACGCATCTTTTTCTGGAGATGAACAGCCTTCCTGACTGCTGCTTCGTACCTCTCATTCTGGGTCTGGAAATACTGGTTTTCTGTGCTAAATACAGGGTCGGATTGGATAGCTTCCACTGCAAGGCAACAACAGAAGAGTTGGTTCTCCTGGGGCTGGGGAGGTGCAGGCAGTGCCTCGAGCCCTGCCTGGGAGGACTGGACCCTTGGATACTGATGCTGTGACTTACTAGCACCTGCCTGTAGGCAGGTTTTATTTTGCCAGTCCTGGCTCCCAGGGCTGTCACATCTAACTCTGAAAAGCAGTGGGTTTGGGGAAGGAGGAGGGGAACTGAGTGAGCATGAGGGGTCTGTTGAGTGGAAATGGTGACCCTGCAGGGTAAGGTACCATTGCTGTTCAGAGAGTAAGGGGTGACTTTGTGGCAGAATCACAGAATATCACAGAATATTCTAAGCTGAAAGGGACTTACAAGGATCATCAAGTCCAATTCTTAAGTGAATGGCCCAAATGGGGATCTAACCCACAACCTTGGCATTATTAGCACCATGATCTTACCAACTGACCTAATCTCAAGATGCCATGGATCCCTCTGCCTCCAGTTGCTGCTCCCATGCTTGTTCCAGCAAGACCTGTGGTTAGCTGGATTTTGCCCTGAGGGTGGCTAATAGCTGGAGCCTGCTGGGTGTCTTGCTCAGCACCAGTGCTCTGGTTTGGGATGTTACCAGCCTATGGCAGTGTTGCAAAGCAACTCAGAGTCACTATTTCTGTGTCAGTCTGAAAACTGCCCCTGATCCATTTTGCTTTGTCTGTTCACAGGTAAGATTATACTGAGTTCCAGCGGCACCTTGAACTGTGTGATCCCAGTGGCCTGTGCCATTCTTGTTTGGTAAGTGTATAATGTTAGTAGTTACAGAGACAAAAGAGAGGGTTCCTCTGTTCCTTCTGAGCATACAGTCAGTTTTTGGCACACTCATGACGAGTGAGAGCAGCTCAGCCTGGCTGAGCAACCCACGCAAGACATTCCCCACCTGGCTAAGCCTGATGTGCCAAGGAGGGTTGCTGGCTGTGGCTCACACATGGTGTGCACTGCTCACAGCAGCACTAAGCCCCTGCGCACATCCCACTGGCACAGGGACACTCAACCCTCAGTTCTTGTATTCCAGTTTAACCAGTCCTGCGAGAGACACTGGGGATGGGAGCAGGGAGGAGGAAAAGCTTCAGACAGCAGGAGTGGCTGTGGAGGAATCGTGTTGATTTACAGTAAGAGAAGACTCCAGCTCCACACTCCCACTTTTTTAAGACATGGGTGATAAGCAAATGCCCAGAAGCACAAACCCCACCATGCTGCAGAGGAGGAGCAGAACAGCAGGGACGCCCAGGCATGGCCTGTGCCAGGCCCCCAGCAGGGCCTTGTAGGGCTCACTCACCCACCGCCCTCCGTATCCGAGTCTGCTCTGCGCCACCATCCAGCAGGGCCGTGAGCTTCTCCACGCAGAAGGAGGCGGTTTGCCTCTCGCTGGCCAGGTCGGGATTCACGCTGCCGAGCGCTGTGCCCTGCGAGTACTTGCTGGTCTCCAGCAGAGCCATCCTGGAGCCTGCTCTGGGAAGGGACGGGGCTCGTCTGGTGCTGGCACCCCGTCAGTGGATGCCTGATGGAGGTGTTGGCACAGTGAGGAGTGGTTTCAGTAGGTTGGCCAAGATGTTGTACCTGCACGGGGGTGGTGAGAATATTTAGGCACTGTCCTGTCCTTGTTGCAATGATATGGACAGTGGAGATTTATGGTACTTTTAAGAACTCAAACTTCGGGTTTTATGATATATTTTTAAGCATAAAATATTTTTCTTTCCCCAGTCTGTCTGCAATATTGTATCAGTTAGTGCAGGAATATCCCACAACTATGTGTTAATATTTAAGGGAGTTTCTGGCTTGGGGCTCGCAGGCACTTCCTGTGCTCCCTCTGTCCTGCCATGGGGCTCAGCTTTATTTACGTTAACTCCTGACCTTGTAATCCCCATGTTAGCAGGATTTATCGCAGGATGCTAGTTAAAAAAAGGTGTCGTGTGTGGGAAATAAATCCTATTTTTCCCTTGAAGAAGCTGCTGCCTTTCCGAAACATTGCATTACTTTAAGAAACGTAAACTCTGGAACCTCTTGCAAATGTGTTATTAATTCCTGCTTTTCCGATATTCAGGCCTTTAATTCAAGGTGCGTTACTGTCTCGGGAGAGAGGACAGCCCCGGGGCAGGGTGCAGTGTACACAGGGTTGGAGTCGCCCAGCGCTGCCCTTGAGCCGTCACGGGAAGGAGCCCGGGACGCCTCCTCTTCCGTGAGGCCGCGTAAGGAAATTCCGCGATTCCCTTCGCTCCGTGCGAACGCGAACCCCCACGTACCTTGTCCCACGCGTCCCTCGGGAGCCGTCCGGCTGCTGCCTCCCTGGCTGGGCCGCGGCTCCCGGCGTCCCTGTGCCCCTTGGCCCTTGTCCCCGGAGCCGTGGGTGTTCCTGCACGTGCTGACCTCTGCAGGCAGGAAAATCCCACCGATCCCAGCGCTGAAAGGGCTCTGCGCCTAAAAACACGACTGTTTCCGATCGCGCTCCAGCCGATTTGCGCGTTGGAGGCTGCGCTTCCAGCTCCGTCCCCCAAGTGACACCCTGCCCTTCTTCTGGTGTTCTTAAATTTGATGTATTGTTTTTGCAGCCTGCTCCGGCTGGAGGAGAGCACCCCTCGGGCTCGCACTGCTCCTTGCCTGTGTGTTTAACTCGCTCAGGGTTTTCCCAGCACAGCCAGGGCACTGCCCTCATCCCTTCCCGCAGTTTGGGGTGCAAGTCTGGACACCGGCGATGTGCCTCACAGGCTGGGTCGTGCCGGAGGGCAACGGGAGGTTGCCGTGGGGTGTGTGCTGCCTTCATCCCTGGTGATCCTGAATCTGCCCTGCTGCAGGATGTCCGGGTCTCTAGTGACGGGAGCTGGAGCTCTCCCCCCCCCACGCCCCCGGGGGCTCACCCTGACTACAGACGGGAGAGGAGTTCCCCCTGCTCATAGTTCATCGACACGTCTGTGCTTCTGCTTCAGACCTGTTGGGAACTGCTTTCTCAGGGAAGGAACACATGGAGTTCACTCGTACTAAAGACTTGCTTTAATGTGAGAAGTTAAACAAAGGTTGGGAAATCAGATGTAGTTTTGGGTAACTGTAATTTTAAGCCTGGAGCTGAGCTTGTTGAACCAAGCCCAGCAGCCATGAGGAGCAACAACCAATCAGAGCAGCTGACTGCAATGCAGTGTGTGTGCTCATGGGCAGTGGATAGTGTGTTAGGGATCAGCCTGGTAGATTAAAGATGCTATGTGGCTCTGTCACACTCCCAGGGTGTCCTGTGGATGTGCTGTATTCAGGTCTGTACAGCACAGTGTCGCATCCCATGGTGACCTGGGGCTGGGAGTGCTTGGGAGGCACTAGATCCTTCTGAAGTGCTCCATGGAATTTCACTATTTACTTGCAACCTGATGTTCATGCAGGCTTCTATCTGGGCAGGCTCAGGTGCTGCCTGGGTAGGTCACTGCCAGTCTGTGTTAGTGAGGTCTGAGCTGGAGTGCCACTGGCGCTGCACGCCTGGCAGCGTGTCATACACCTCAGCTCCACGTGCCCTTGGGTGCCCAGAGATCTCACAGGTGTGATGACAACTGGCAAAATCCGCAAGAGCACCTGGTTGTGGTGCGTTGGAACACACCCTCATTATGTTGCTGATAATTTCACCTTTTCCCCTATTTCCATAAGGCTGGATCTCACCAGTATCATGGCCAATTCATATGGTCTCACATGATGCTTTCATCAACGCAAAACCATTTGGTCTGTGGCAGTTTTAGATAATTTTGGGAAATGATCTAAATATAGAGAAATACCTAGGATAGGCAGAGGCAAGTTCCTGAGCAGGGGTGTTTGGCCAGGGTCAGTCAACAGGTACCAATAGCTTGAGGAAGAAAACCAGAATTTGCCATTTTTGAGGCAGTAATGAGGAATATATCAAGCATCAAAATATAAGTGTTCCTGGGCAGGAAATACCATGGCAGCAAACTATCTAGGAGCACTTCAGGAGTGAATGCACAGGAAAGAAATCTCAGCATGACTTGGATAAAGAGCAAAGCTGGTATTAAAAGCTCTGGCAGTAAGAGAAATCCAGGCGATGGAGCAGTTCGAGCATAGCTAAAAGGCAGGTGTCCTTTAAGAGCAGAAATGATTGTTTCTTACTCCCTTGCATAGAAGAGGAACTGTCACGATATGAACAACTGCTTTTGGCATCCATGTATGGAAGGAGGTGTGTGATCAGTGTAAGTTTTGGGGCATAGCCCATCAAAACCTCACTGCTTGGTGCTGGAAGAGGTTGATAAAGCATTCTACGAAGTGCTGCCCGAGTCCCCTGGTCTCATGTCACACCAAAGGCCTCAGTCCCCAGAGAAGATGTGTCCCTTTGGGTGATTTATTCCAGGAAATTAAGTACACAACCTGCCACAGTAGGATAGTAAGGGAGATGATGTTATAAGCAGCAAAAAGGTGGGAAGATGTTTTGGAAATCTGACCTGAAGAACAAGTTTAGTGAATGAGCCCTCACCCCCAGTGATGAGCTGACTGGCCACACCAGTGCCACAGGGTGTGGAGGGTTGGAACAAAATGTACCTCCCAGTGTGGCAACTCCAGTAAATACCTGGTGTCAGAGAAATGCATCCAAGCACCATCTCTGCCATGTTCTGAGTGGGATGTTGGCATCTGTGCCAATATCAGTAATGAGACGAGTCCTTTTCATTTGCTTTGCTGCATTCAGTTTTACCCTGGCTCTCAGGGACCATGGTGTGTGTGACCTGTACGTGTGAAGCACCCTCTCTCTTTCTTATATGTTTAATCTGTGGTCTTTGGTTGCTGCTAAAGAACTTAAAAAAAATGTTTAAAAATAATGAAGAAAGCTCACTAGTGTGAGGATTACCTGTAAGTTCAAACCTGAGTTTTTAAATTAAATCCGAGGACATGTTTCCTTGGCTTTGTGAGTCTTGCCCTGCCAGGCAAGTGGGCATCCATGTCCAGTGGGAAATCAAACAGTATGGGAAGTTTCAGAGCACAAGGCCTGATGCCACAATTTTTGGGCCCTTAAACTTTCATCAAATTGAGATGAAGTCTGGGGATAAGCACTGGATTCAGTGTTGGGTGCAGATGACAAAAAGGGCTGATTGATGAGCAAGTTCACACAGCACTAACAAAGGAATTGGTGTCAGACTTCACTGGTTTGTCTGTTCATTACGTTTATTTGGCTGTTGTCTGCTTGAATCCTTGGAGCTTTTTCAGTTCCTTGTGGAAAAGAGCAAAATATACAACCATTGTTTAGTTTATTTCTTCAGATTTGTCCACATTAAATAGTGAGTTAATTCAGTAGAGGTGCAAGACATATAAATGTATAGTTTCATATAAATGTATAAACATCAACACAGAATATAGACTATATACCACATAAGCAACATACACAGTGCAAAAAATTGTCTTCCATCAATACTCTGATTATATGATCTTCTGAATACACCATGTTTATTCAGGAGTGTGTTTTAGGGACATAGGGAGAAATGAATGTAAAAGCAATAGAGACACAAAGATACCCCACAGTATGGGGTCCTGGTGGGCAGCTGGGTCAGGGCTTTCTGCTGTCTCTCCACTGCTGGAAGGTTTTCTTGTGGTTCTGCTTGCTCAGCCTGAGTTAGGACAGTCTGACCTGGCCTTCCCTTTCCCTTCTGGACACCTGCTGGAAATGACCTAGACACCCCTTAGCCACCATGGATCATGCTGTGTGCAGCCCCACTCTGTGCTTGGTGGACACCACATCAAAGGGAGGCACCTTGATTTATCCCCTCCGCCTCCAGGTAATATTTACATGCTTAAGAAAAGCAACTGAAAAAATACTTTCATCCTTTTCATTGCTGACCTTACTGGATGGCTCCCACCCAAGGACTTGCATAAATACCCCTGTCCCAGCCCGGGTGAGCTGATAACACTGATTTCACTGGTGCATATGGAGTGACAGATTGCCTCTCCTGGAGTGCATTTCCATCTGTGGCAAAATTACAAATTAATTTGCTGAATTTTTTTTGAGCTCTTTGATCAAGGTTACTTAATCTGTGCCATAACTCCCCAAAAAACTCCAGCACAGTAATTCTGGCTTGCTGCTTACACTGATGTTCTCTATGGAGTATCGTGCAGCGTTCTTTACAGCTATGTACAAGCATCCTTACTAACACCTTATTATCCTTGGAGAAAATTGACTTTTTTTTTCCCCCTGAAAAAATAGTTGATGCTGCTTCTTCCTTATGGTTTTAATCATCACCTATATGAAAAGCTTCACAGTTGGAAAGGACGTAATAAAGCCCTTCAGGTCTTGTGTGAGCCACAGTGACAATATGCACTGGATTTCTGAAACAAAATCATGTTTAGAATAAGCATATGAGCAAGGGGCTTAAAAACTACAGCAGAGACAGTGCCTTGACATGGGGTGCTCAAGGACTGAAGCTGAGTTAAGGGCTTTTATAGTCCAGTCTGTCACAGAAACTCCATACCTGTATCACTGCTCTTGACATGTGATGTGGCTCAGATGTTTCACCCAGGCTGTCAGGCTGAGCAACAGCCCTCTGAAATGAAACAGCCCTCTGAAATGAAACATCCCACTGGACCAGGGAGACTAGGGAATGGATTATCAACTTTTTAATAAATATATGATAAATGCCCAGTTTCCCTTGATTTATGTATGGATCCACTGAAGACATGGATAGTAGATGTTGTTTAACCAGGTATTACCTTCCCAGCTGACAAGGTCCACTGAGACCATTCAAGGGCCAGTGTCCAAAGGCAGTCAGTGAGTTTTGCTGTTCAGGCTTTGTATCAGGGCTGATGTGAGAAGCAAGAAGCTGAGATATTCCTGAAAGCACAGTTTTAGCTCTGGATATGGATACCCCAGGGCACGAGGGGTATCCACCATAAGTGTGTCAGGCTCTGTCTGTACATGGTGCAAATGCACCATCCACCTCAGCTTGACTATACCAGGAACAAGAAGAGTTTCAGCTTTGCAAGGTGGCAACTGCAATGAGGCAGCTCTGACCTCTGGAAAAGGGGATTAGAAGCACTGAAAAATAGTTTTGCATCAGGACCTATGTTCCCCTCTATCTCGGCTGCTGGGTGAGTGGCTGAAGCTCAGTAGTCCAGGGGTAAGAAGCAGTTTGTCTGTCTGCTACATCCTCAGGGATCTTCTGCTCAGTCACTGCATGCTTCCATGGACAGCCACGCTGGAAACACCCAGCTTTTGCTTTCTGCACAGAGCATTTACCTCCCACTTGGGGTGTTGATGGAACAGTCCAATGTATTTTCTGCCTCAGCGTGGAACTGCCTAAATAGCCACTTTGAAACAGGGTTGAAATGCAGTTTAAAGGTGCTTGTGAAGAACAGTGGCATCTGCCTGTGCTGCACTGGTATGGGCATACAGAGGTTGGTTTTTCTAATAGCACAGGTGTGCTGCTGGGACACACAGCCTCAGCCAGGCTTGACACACACTGGTGCAATACCAGTGACCCTTGGGAAAGCCATTGTGGTCATCTAGGTTGTATTCAGTAATACACAGGTTGTCCCTTTTAGTTACCTTGCCAGGTTTCCAGGAGGTTCTCCGCAGCTGCAGCTGCCCTCTTGTCACCTTGTGCCTGGCCAGCCTGCCTCCAGGAAGAAGCAGGGGTCCCCCAAACCTCCACAGACTTCCCTGGCTTAAATATTCACTGTGTCCCTAGAGTTTAACAAGAGTTAGCTGGTGGTTAGAGTGCACCCATGGTCTGGGGGGGAAAATATCATTATCTCTGCATCCACTTGTGTGAGTACTTCTTCAGTGAATACTGCACTTTTTCCACAGTGATTCCCTCCTGGGCTGGGAAAACCTTTTCTGTGCCTTCTACTGGAGCAAGTGTTAATAACCGTAAGTAGCCCCGATGATGTGGCTGTGAATGTGCACCATGTACAGAGATGTCAGCAGGTGTGTGTTAGCACTGGCCTTGGTAGGATCCCTGTTGAGTTTTGGCAGAAGCTACGCTGCTTTCTCATCCCCTGTCACTGTTGATGTTCTTCTCAGGTTTTCCTTGACTTTAATGAATTCTGGTTCGTGGTCTTCCTGCTTCTCCTGCTCTTTCTCCAGCTGTAAGAAAGAAGAGCCACTATGCATATGAAAGGACAAAAAGGCATCAGGTGCATTGAAACAGGGGGTTTCATTATTGATGGGTTCAGTTACTATTGCCCAAAGTTGAATGAGTGTGTAGTGCATATGTTGGGGCTGTTTTTTAAAAAAACATCACACCAGACCTATATTCTCCCTTAGTCTCTTTTTGTGTCTTGATGAAACATTAATTTCTTTTTTTTTTTTCCTCTAGGGAGGAACAACTCTATCAGAAAAGCAGGGGAGGGCTTTACTTCAGACCTGGCTTGGGGGAGGGAGGAGGAGATTTTAGTCCTTCCCAGCAAAGGAGGCCTGTGAGCCTGGGAAAAGCTCTCAGCAGTTGTTACTGTCTAAGGCGGGGTAAATCATTGTACTGCCTCACTTTTATATGCAAAGTTTTTAGGGATCTGCCCCCAAACCACCTTGTTTCATATTCCTGGTTCTTCTCTGAAAACCAGACTTTGGTTTTCAAGTGATCACGTCTTGACTGACATTATTATTATGTAGTTAATTAAATAAACTGATTTCATCCTTTGCAGTGCAAATACTGGCAAGCAGGACAGAATGACTTTACTTTCAGTGATAATGAGTCTGCTCCCTAATTGCACTGGTTTGGGTGAGAGGGCAGGCATGGAGCACCTGGGGCCTGGCTATGCTGCTGACAAGTGCACAGTGAATATCGCCTTCCCCAGGCATATTTTTGGCCAGGGTACATGTCAGGAGCTGCACCCAAAAGCAATTTAGGTGAGATTGCAGCAATGTTTCTTCCAGCACTTCTGCAGCCTCTCACACCACACCTCAGGGTTCTGAGCACCCCTTCGGTGGATGTTGCAGTGGCTTCCATGCTATTTAGGGTGCTTTGAAATGGAAAACACACCCCAGGGACACTGTGTGGGACCCAGAGGAGATCCAGGGCCAGTGGTGTGTGACAGGGTTTCTGGGTGGGGTGGTATAAACATGGTGGATCCCACTGTGAGGATGAGGGGGCTGCAGCTGCTTGAGGCAGCAGTGAAGGATGTGCTGTGGCTCCTGGTTTTATGGAGGGGTAGCAACACTATACCTTGGGTTGAGCCTCAGCCAACCCATCTCCCCTATGCCTTGTGTTGGGTGGTTAGGATAACCCAGGGATGACTGAAAGCTCAGTTCTACCTGATCCAGCCTCTGGTGCCTCTTTAATAGCTCTTTTTCAAAAGGAGACTGCAATTTCTTTGCCTCTTCCTCTTCCTTTTTCTGTTTGATGAGCAGGTCTCGCCTTCGGTGCTCAAGCACCCGCTGCAGCTCTGGCTTGCTGTTCACGCCCAAACCTCTGTGGATAAAATGCAGATAAATCAGGGTCTGAGTGCCTACACCCTGGGGTGTGACCAAGTTGCCAGCCTGGCAACCCCAAAACTCTTCTCATTCCTAAATGGAAACATGGGAGACTTGGTCCACAAACGAGCCCTGGTCCACAGATCCATCCACAAGGTTTGAGGGTGTTACAACACTGCAGGGATGGTGCATTGGGCTGCCTGTCTGGGGTGGGCACAGTTTACTGTCCCTGTATGGCGTGTGTGGTGCTGGAAGTTCTGTGGATCCCATTGCACCAGGGCACTACAGCTTTCTGTGTCAGGAAACGGGACCTTCCACTGGCTCCCGCTGTTGCTGGTTTTAGTGGTGTCAGGTACGGATTCGGCTGCGTTGAAGACATTTGAAATAATGACGAATTTTTTCTCACCAGCAGGGGTAGTCATTGGTCTGCAGTAATTGTTCTGGCAGCTCCTTTCCTCCCGGCGCATCCCATCTGAAGCTTTGCTTCATGTGAAGCCTTGCTTTGGAGCTGAGGGCTGGCAACGCCCCCGTTGACATGGATAGTTTGGGTCAAGAGGCCGAAATTAAATGTCCTTTTCTCCTGGAAGCTGGAGGGTTTGCTGATGGTGCAGGTACCTGGCTCCACTTTGTCTGCCTGAAGCATCTCAGGTGAATCCCTGTTCTGTCAGGGGTGGAATCATGGAAAAGGAGACATAGCAAGGCCATGCAGGCAGGGCATAAATACATGGTAAAGAGATGGTAGAAATTCTCTGAACGAATTTCAGAAACCTCCCACTTTTTATATTGCCATACCTGAATTTAAACATTCAAATTTACCTCCTGCAGCTGATCCTGGCCACCTTCCCACCAACTTCTTCCCCACTGGAAGCATGTGGGTAGTTGTGGACGGTGCTTGGTGTTCCTGTGGGTGAAGGTCTGTTTTGAGCAGAGGAGGGACCTCCCCATGCCTGTGCTAAGGGCTTGCCCAGGGCATGGCAGGCTGGGGAGTGCTGTTAATACAGAACTTCTCAGCAACGGGGGGCTCTGTTGACCCAAGGCTGGTTGGTTTCAGCTAAGGTTGTTTGAAAGCAGAAACATCAAACTGTATGGGCTATGGATTTCTTGGCAGGGTGGCAGGTGCTGAGGTGGTACCTCACAGCACGAGAAACTGAACTGGCAGGAATGAGAGAAACACTCTCCAGATGCAGCAAACCAGACCTCTGTTTTGTCACAGTGTGGCTGGGGACCAGTGCTTGCATCCTTCTAGTGCCGGGTTTAATGATACTTCTGAGTGTAATTTCTTTTGCTTTATGATAGGACAAACTTCACAGCAACACCAGTGAAGGCAGCCCTATCCTTGGCCCCAGAGCTTTCGTGATGGTTTTTCAAGGCAGGAACAGCTTGGATGCTGCAAAATTGCTTTTCCCAAGGCTTGAGAGAAGGCAAACCTGCCTTGGCTTGCTGGAGACACAGCGTGCAATGTTGCCTGTGGATTTGTTACTATTCTTTGATTTAATCAGCTGGTGCTGTTAGTGCCCAGAGGTGTTGACTAAGATAAGGATTTTGTTACACAAGCTGCTGATTTGAGTTGCTTCTCCCTGCTGCTTGAGGGGAAAAAAACAACCAAAGCAGACACAAGAGTAAGTCATAGATCCCTCTCTCTCCTTCTCCCCTCTCTCCCTCTACAGTAACATGTAGCAGGAAGCAAAACTGGTGGATTTGAGAGTGGCAGGAAACCAGCAAAGATGGGTTATTGTTTGCAGTGGGGTTTCACATACTTGCTGAAAAATAGCTGGGAGGTCAAAGCCAAACCAGTTTTAAACTGAGGTATGAGGGGGGCAGGAGGTGCAGGATGGCTGTGGTGGAGCTGCCTCCTCCCAGTACCTGATGGGACATGTGGATGTAACAGTGGCAGGCACATAACTGGAATAATAAAGTGCTATGATGTACTTCATGTTTGCCAATGTGAAGTCCAGCTCAGTCTGATGCCGTGGGATCTGCACCCCATCTGCTGCCACTCACCTCTGCAGCTTCTGTTGCAGGAATTTCTTGTTTCTTTGTTCCATCATGGTCAGCCTGGAATAATGTTCTTCGAGATCAAAGCCAGTGCTGGTGGGTGACCCTTTAAACTGAGCAGTATCGCTAGGGAGGAGATGGTCACTCTCAAGCCAGAGAGTTTTAAAAATATCTGGCTGGTATAGTTACCTCTGCCTTGATGCCAGAGAATGGTCCCTGTAATTCTTCTGATTCTGGGAAAATCAAATCAAACCCAAGCCCAGCCAGAGCCAGTATTGATTAATGCACCCCACTGGCAGGCTTGATTGTTCCCTGAATTAATATACGTGTCTGGTTCTTGAGATGACTGCAGTCCTTCAGAACAGAGGCTGTGCTCCTTTTAATTAGGCGGCCAAAGAGCTCTTGTGTCCGGGTATTTCAGGGCATTCGAAAAATGTCAATATAAAGCCAGCAGATTTCTTGCTGTGTTTAAAAGCCTCTGAGCTGAATATGATTTTATTGCACTGATGTTCAAGCACTTGCTGTAATGGAATGATATGGCTGTAGGTTCTCAGTCACTGATGTGATTTTCCTGCTGTTGTATTTGTGCCCCCAAAAAGTTAAATAGCAGTGATGGGGTAGGAAGTCAGGAATATGAATTCTAGCCTGTTTTTAGCCATTTGTTATTTAGGGAATCAGTGATTAGCCTTCTCCTTATACAGATGATCTCACCCCAGTGCTCCCCCAGCTTTCAATGGCTCCATCCAGCCTGCACTTCTTCCTGCCTCTGGGTTGACAAAGGAATGGTGTACATTCAAGCACAAAGGAATGGTGTACATTGCTGGGGACTTTGCAAGTCAATGGTGGAGATAGAAAAACCAGAAAACCTTCATGTGACACCAGGAGTGGGGCTCTAGGGATGCCTTGCATCTTCCAGGGCTTGTGGCTCTGAAAAGTGCCAGCTGATGCTTCAGGATGGCAGAGCAGGGGCTTTCTGTTTTGCTTTTGTTTTAAAAGAAACTGTCACATCAGAGAAAAAAGAAAGGTCTACCACAAGTTTTATGTTTACAAGTGAAGAGATTTATCATTCCCTGTGCACCTGTGCCTCAGCTCCTGAGCTCCGATGGCTCAGCACCTCTTGGACTGTTCCAGTGGCAGGCTGTAACCTCATCTTACCTTTTGTGGTTCATCAGCAGCTCTCTGTGCAGCTCTTGATGGCTCTTTGAGGCTTTTACAGGATTTAGGAGCTTTTTAGGTTTGATGAGGTCTGGGTTTTCATCTATGTAATCTGGGTGAGTCAGGATATTCCCACCATCTGGTCGCTCCCGTTGTATTTCAGTGTACATCGATGCTGGAAGAAAAGAGAGGTGTTAGCATGAGAAGTCTCATCCTGCTTGGTGTGGGAACCCACTGGAGCTCTCCTCCCCTGGGCAAGACAGAGGAGAAGAGATGGTGCCTGTCCCAGCTGCTTGACACCGTGTCAGTGTCTGAGTGCACGTGCCTTCGCGTGCTGGTGCGGGTTTTTTTGAGGCTTTAAAAAAATATTCCCTTTGTGTTGTTCATAAGAGACATATTAATTAGATCACTTAAATTACTTGCCAGCCACTCGCTTCAGTGGCTGCAGCATTTAGTGCCAAGGATTAATTAATGCAAGATAGGTCTGACTAAAACTGGAAGCAACCATGGATGTGGACTGTGCTGAGCTGCTGTTTGGGTGTCCTGGCCGAGGCCGTCAGTCCCTCGACACAAGGGGATGCTGTGGGATTTGAAGGGTTTCTGAAACACTGGCTTGAGGAAGTGCTGCTGTATCTGAAACCTCTTGACAAGGAAAGATTTTGCTGATATCCTGCTGACCTATTCATCAGGATCGAGCCCCGTGCCAGGAAAAGCGCCATTGGCCCATGCAGTCTGGGATCACGCTGTAATAATTTGTATGTTGGATGTAAGAACAGGAGCCTACTGTTTTGGAAGGGATGGCAGCTTGGATTTCAGGCAAACCACAGGGCATGCTCACTGTTGGTGTTTTCCAGGTCCTCTACATTTTCTCTTTACAATAAACCCTATACAAAGTGAGTGCAAAGCACAAGTTATAAGACAAACTGCATGTGGTGGGCTGTGTCTTTAAATGCAGAGCACAGTAGATCTGCCTTCAATTATTCAGTGTACGGTCTAATCAAGGGCTCAGAAAGAGCAATTTATTCCTGACTATTCACTTGAACAATTTGGAAGTTTACCAGTAGGAATAAAAAGTCCCAGGAAAAGGGTGTAGGCAGCTTCAGGTCTTTAAATGTCTCATTATTAAAATATTTTTTGGGGCCTAGGGTGAAGTTATATGGGTTGATGGAGCTGCAAGGAAAACAGTTGTTCAGTAATGCTGCCTCTTTCTCTTATTTCAATCTCATATATAAAAGGAATAAAACCTTTTTAAAAGAGAAATCAATAAAAAAAGGCAAGAGAAAGCAGGCTAGGTCATTCTTTCATAGTCAGTAAGTACTTATCAAATGTGAAGTGGATTGCAATCAAATGGGATTGTGTAAGGAATAATACTGCTGAAGAAATGATTCAATATCAAACAACTTCTCATTGTGGCCAATGCCCTACTGCTTTGGGAACAAAAGAAAACAAATCAGAGCTCATTACAGGAGTGTAATTGGAGTGAATAGTTCGGTACATATTTAAAGAGCACTTGGAAGCCGGGACAAGTGATTTTTTTGGTATCAAATTATTTTCCACTAGGATCACACATCACTGCTGGCAGAAAGGAAGGTGGCATGGCTTGATGTTTGGTGGCAAGTGCCAGGCTGACTGAAACCCCTGCAGGGCCGGACTCCTCAGGCTGAAACTGGGGGCTCAGCATTGCCTTCCAGAGAGATGCAAGGACTGAAGAACAGCCAAGGGTTAAGGCAGTGCAATTTCATGGCTAATTCTTGTTAGATGAAAGCCAGGTTTTGAACAATGAGAAAAACATATCAGATTTTCACTGGGATAAAACTGCTTTGTTTTTTTCTTGTACTTCTCTTCCTCCCCCTTTTTTTTTTTCACAGAAGAAGAGGCAGTCAAAAGACAATGAAGGAAGTTACAAAAGCAAAGGTTTGTTTTGGCATGATGAAATGGTTGAGCTCCTATTTCAAATGGCAAAGCTATGTCTTCATTCTTCAAACAAAAAAGTCTCTCCATGGAGTAACTTAAATAAAATGCCAGGTGTTTTTAGTGGAAACACTGTTTTTGGACAGCCATACTAATGGACTAACCTCAATGCCACTGTGTCATCCCATTGCCCTTTCCGGCTGTTCCTGTGTTGTTGTTTAGTCCAGAGCTGCCTCCAGTGACACAGATGCCCACACTGGCTTGTGTGCTGAGTACCAAATCCTGACACATGTCAGGAGAAGGGCTGGGGCATGTCCATCTTGGATTTGTCCATCTTAAATCCGCCTGTTGTGCTTTGCTAGGGGATAATGCAGCAAGCAGCAAGCGTGGAAGGATTACACAGCCAACCAAGCCTGAAGGACCAGCCTGGATGCTGTAAATGGCTGAAACTCCAGTGACTTTGGTATTGTTTTCTGGACCGAGTAGCTCTCGTGTCCTGTTGCTAAGCTGTGCCAGCTCTTGGGGCACTGGGGCAGCACTTTTACTTATAAAGTACTGTTTTCTCCCTGGCTTCATGAGTGGAGTTTGGTTTTCCTTTTGCAGCTCAGGAGTGGGAGTCCCTTCTCTCCTACCCCAAAATCCAGGTCCCAGGTGATTCACTTGGGGTAGGCTGTCCCCATACCCACGTAGTTCTAACACCTAGAAGTGTACAACCCCATGGCACAGTGTCATCCAGCCCTTCAGTCTGCTCTTGTGATGTTTTCCCCAGACACCCAGGATGATCAGAGAAGATGTTTTTATAGGGGTGGCATTTCACAGAGACGCATTCTCTGCTCAGAAAGGGATGCCCATATGACAAGAGCAGTTTGGTCATCATCTGGCCCTGCTGTCAGACCTCTCCTGAGATGCTCTAATTGGAAAATCAGTTCTCAAATGACACACACAGCAGAAATAAACCACTGTGAGCTATGTTTGCTTTCTAGGTTTCAGCCAAAGCTGAACACTGACCTATCCTGCAAAAGGCAGCACTGAGAGCTTTGCAGGTTAAGGATGCAGGTGGCATGGACAAGCGTGGAGGGATGTGCAGAGAAAAGGTGAGTGTGTCACAGGAGGCAGGATGTCAAGGAGAGCTTGGAAAAACAAAAGTCAGGGAGAGAAGGAATTTCACATGAAAACCTGCAAAAAGCTGGTGTCCTGCTGTACCATCCATTCTCCTATACAGGTGCAAGTAAAGAGGTGCTGGGCAGGAGCCCAAACCTCCACCCTACAGCTTTCTAAACCCAACAGTTATAGTATTAATTTTGTTTCCAGCCTCTGAAGATTTTCCCCTTGTAAAGAACAGCTGTAGCCATGTAGACAGTCAAAAGCAGAGCTGCACCCCTCAGGTTACCTGCCCTTTCCAGGACTGTTAATCCTCTTAACATTCCTGGGGATTATTTCCATTCCGGCAGGACGGTAGAGCAGGCTGCCAGAGGCAGCGCAGGGAGCAGCACACGGTCCTGATGCAGAGGGCAACCCACCACTGAGAGACAAGTTGCTTAATCCTAAATAAATGCTCTGTGAAGGGCATCTCCTCCAGGTGAGGGAAAATCAAAAAGCAGCAGCTGCAAAGGGAAGTGTAGCTCAGCTCTGGCCAGGCCAAACCCTGGGCATCAGCCAGTCCTCCTCTTCCTCCTCCTTCCCAGGAGCAGGCTAAAACCTCTCTCCTTGCCCTGGGCTGCCCAAAAGTCACTCAGCGCCCTGAGCAACACATCTCAGGTTATGCTCCTAGTAGAGTATATTTAATTTATATTTGCAAAATTCAAAGGCATTTAGTGTTGGACCAAAGCTGCCTGGTGTCCTGTTCCTCAAAAATATTAGGGCTGAGCATAATGTGAAAACTATTTGCCCCAGGATTTCAGACTGATGACTTCAGTGCAACTTTCCCAGGAACTGGAGGATTTATAAGCATTTCCAGGCAGTATGAGCAGGAATTTGGGTTTTGCTTTAGGTCAGAACAGACCAAGATATTAAAATGTTGGCTTGTCCTCCAGCCAGTCCCACACTCTGGGGCAGGAGGGTGACTGATCTCTGGACCATGTCAAAGATGCTGAAAATTCCCTATGGAGTCTCCTAGAAAACTAACCAAGACTGGGAGCTCATTTCACAAATACAGTTGAGAGAGCAGATAACTCCACATGTGAAGTCTAAGTATTTGCCAGGGTCCCTGGCATCCTCATTCTGGCAGTCTTGCTTTTTACTAACAGAAAAGCATCTGGAAATGCACCTTCTCTAGAAAGCCTCAGGCTTCTAGAAATGAGGGAAGGGAAAATATCTAAAAGTAAGCAAAAGACTGAGTGTGTCAAAGAAAACAGAGCTACTTTTTATAAGCAACACTCCAAAGCAGACCTATTTAAAAGGTCACACTGTCTTTCTGAGCACAGCAGAAGATATTAACATCTACATGTATTTTTTTGGTTATATCTTGCCAAGAACAATATAAAAATGTCCAACACCTTTTGCTGATTTATGATGGTGGCCAGGGAGTGCCAGAGCAGAGCCTTGTTCATTGATCTACATCTGAATCATGCAAAAACAGACACCCTGCTGTAAATCCACTGCAGAGACCTGGCTTGATTTACACCTCCAGCACCATAAAAAATGACAAAAAGAAGCATGATAGCAGTCTGTCTCCCCTTACACAGACATGAATTACATCAGGTCTTGAAGATGATAGATCTACTCCCTCAGAAACATTTTCCACTGGGTCCCTATTTGCCAGCCTGCAGGAGAAAGGATGCCCTGTCCTTACTCCCAGCATAACCTCAAGCTGTGTTTCAGGTGCACCGATATCTTTATATTCTCATTTTTCTTTTTCTGCTTAAGGCAAAGGAGGACATTCCTTGAATTGTTCCAGAAGTCAGAAGGCATTATTTTGGGGATGGGATCCATACTCACAGGACATTGCTGTCTGTAATTCTGTGAGACCCTGTTACTTGGTGAAAGGGATGAGACTGGGCACAAACCTCAGGGATGCCCAAGGTCAGAGCCCTGGATCTGGTTTGTAAAACCACTGACCCAAGGACTGCTTCCTGGGCAGAAATGATCACTTAAAACTGTGGTTATGGGGAAGAACCTCTGGTTTTCTGGATGCCTGGGATTTATGAATGAATGTGTCTTTTTTACAGGACCAAGAGATTAATGAAGTGCTGCTGAAAGCAGCTGGTCATACACGTCCTGCAAGTCAGGTGGCTGCAAAACCAACACGTCAGGACGGGTCAGCAGAGCAGGTTTAAAGCTATTTACACAAGTAACCTGAGGCTGGGAAATAATGTGAGTTTCTGACACTTTTAAAAGATAACAAACTTTCAACTGCAGTTCATGGGGAGGAAACCTTCCCTTTTCTGGGCTACAGACTCTGATAGCATCTGCTCCCTGGAGAGCCTTCCTTTCCCTGCAGTGAGGGTGCCATCCCTCACAGCCCTCTTGGGATGGCTGAGAGGAGTGGGGCCTGTCCTCACTCCTTGCAATGGTTTGCACGTGCAGGTGGAGGTGGTGGGATCTTTAAACTGGCCTCTGTTACTTTTAAACACTGGTACACTTCTACCTGTTAACCAGACGTTCACATTTTTTTTCATTTTAGGGTATGTCAATGCATTTCCAGTGTCTGAAGTGGAGCCAGAGTTTGGCTCTACACCTTTTCTTGTGAGTGTAATGTCAGACAAGGTCATGCTGTGTGTTAAGTCCTACAAAGGATGAAGCTGAAAGTTTGTCTTTTGTTTTGGATTCTTCAGTTGATGACATTTGCTAATTTGCAAGATTTTTCTAGTGTTAGTTAATTGTATTTTAGAAACACAGAATAGCTGGGTTGGCAACGTGGGGCAGGGAAAGAATTGCATGTTGGTCTCTGAAAGCCGCAAAGCTTTGTGTGTTGAAACCACCTTTCAGGTGTTTATCTGTATGGTTGGTGGGTTCAAGGCATAGTGAGGCACTCAGGTGCCAGCTTGAGTGAGTCAGATGTGGGTGCTGCCCGACAGGGAGGCTCAGTGCCTGGACACCCTTTGGTGGGTGAGTCCCTGCATCTGAGCCCGCAAAATATGCCCTATCACCCCAGCTAATCCATGTGTTGCTGTTACACAGCCGATCCCAGAACAAAATACCTGTAATTCACATTAGTTTAATGACTGCTGTAGCTTACTGCCCTGGTGATGGATGATGATGAGGTTAATAGTGATTATAATGATAATAATAATAATAATGATGATAATAATAATAATAATAATGTGAGCCTAAAGATTGGCAGATGCCAACCGCTACCCTCCCTGGGTGAGACGGCACCAGCTCCCATCCTCACTGTGATTTTGCTCTGGTCCTGCCGTGCCGGCAGCTCGGGAGCACCTCACACCGATGGACCTGGCACGCTCCCCCCTGCTCATCACCGATAAATGATACGCGTGCTCTGGAAAGGAGGCAAAGAGCCTTTGTCTGCTTTTAATCTATAGTTTTAAATAATTAAGCAGGGCTAATTCTGGTATTTATAATGCAATAGGGTGAGTGTAACTCGATGTGGCCGCCGTGGGAAGCAGTTCCCAGCTATCAGGTGGCTGCCTCGGGTCAGCAGGCGAGTACAGATCGGGTCCCCTCACCTTCACTCAGCCCTGATGGTCAGGAATAAACCCCACGAGGTCACGGGGTCAGAAAGGGAGAGAAAACCCTAATGGAAATATAAAACAGGGCTGGGGGAACACAACCCTGCAGCTCCCAGCACCACTGCCACATGTCAATACCATTCCTATCTCTGTGTCTCTTCGGAGTGCATGCTGGGGATGAGGCTTCTCATCCAGTGCTCCCCACCAGTAAAGCCCATGCTGCTCACCAGTACAGTCTGAGCTTCCCACCAGTACAGCCAGTGTCCTCACGCTGTTATAGCCAGTCTCCCCAGTTCAGCCAATGCCCCTAGTCCTGCTTACCCTTGCAAAGTCCCGTGCCAGCACTACAGACCCCAGGGCTGGGGTCCCCCATTTACACCAGCACCAGAGGGCACAGAGCAGGTACTGGGCTCAGCCTGGGCTGCCCCTGTGTCAACACCTGCAGTCACTCCAAAGGTAAAAGACTTTGGATGTCATCAAGGTCATTAAGATTTGCACTCATGCACGTGTATTTGGAAGAGAGAAATTTCATCAGGTTTGAGGCTTGCTGGGCTGTCTGGGGTGTAGAAGTTACCAGTCTGGAAATGCTTGTGCTGTCAGGCAGCAGGAAGTGCCCCTTTGCTGTCAGACAGGACTGTCTGTGCTGGTTAATCATTTCATTTAATTACCTTGGACTGTGATAAGCAAAGATAGCAAGGTTGAGATCTCACTCTGTTAGCAAGCACCAAGACATCCCATGCCTTTTCCAAGTGGCATGTGGAGCACTTGTTTGGTTTTGTTAGGCAGTGGCAGATGCTCAGTAGTCCTTCTTGACAATCATAAGCTTACTTTTAATCTCTCATCAAATATTTGCTCTGTCATTTGCCTACCTATGACAGAGATGCATGACAGAGATGCACACCAATCAGTAATGAATACTTTAAGGTAGTTCAAAGGTATTTTGTTAAATGCAGAGAAAATCCTCCCACGTGTATTTGCAGGCATTGTAGTAGCCCCCCGTCCAGCCCAATGCCTCTCCAAGGAGAATTACAGCACGGGTTTACAAAGGGAATTTCTTGCGGGATATGTTTGGAGAGGCACAAGCAAAAGGTGCAGCTTCTCAACCAGCTGCTGAAGTATTAAAGTAACATGATATCTCAAATAAAATTAAAACAGGGTCTAAAGTCACCTGTGCATAAACATGTATGCAGTGCAGAGCAATCCCGTGGGGCTCAGCAGCCCATCCCACAGCAGGGAGCGGTAGAAAAGTGGGGATCCCCTGGGATAGTTTGGGGAGCCCTGAGCTTACCTGATTTCCGCAGTGTGGCCCTGGGGAGCCCAGGGGGCAGGTGCTGCCCCGTGCCCCACGACATGGGGCTGTGGGGGCTGAGGCTGCCGCTGCTGCCTGGCTGCTCTTGTGCCTGCGTGACTTTTGGCCGGGTCCGACGGAGCTGCCTGGCTCCTGCCAGGTCTCTGCAGTGGGACCCTGGACGGGAGGTCACGTGGAGGTGGCTGCTGCACTGGCACTCCCTCCTCGCTGCTCTTGTCACCTTGCAAGGACTCCACTGAGGACTGGAGCTCAGCTGGCAGCCGGTGGCCTTGCTCACTCCTCAGTGCTGGTCCCAGAGGTCCCTCTGCTGCCCTGCAAACTTGTTCCCTTTGCTCTTTGTTGCCAGATGATGCTTTCCCAGGACGGATGAACAAGCTAATCACTCTTTCTCCTCAAAGCAAACAGCTCCGTGCGTGCCCAGGCACCCGAGCTGCCCGCTCGGCACAGCCCCTGCTGCTGGTGGAGAGGTTGTGTCCCTGCTCCACGGAGGACGATTTCTCCTCAACGTGCCTTAACCACTCTCCTGGAGAAATCAGATCGCCCCAGAGGAAGCCGCACGCCCACTCTCTTTAGCAACCACTGCAACAGCCAAGCCGGCACCAGGGCAACCGCTCGAGTTATCGTGATTATTCCCTGGCATGTTGCAACACCCTGTCATCAACCAACTGCTGCACGGCCCAGGGGAGCAGCTGCTGCACCCCGGGGGTAAGAGCTGCAAGAGGGAGAAGCAGCCCCTACATGGGGCCATGGGTATCCTGGTGGCATCAGAGCCGTGTGATGCCACATCATCGCTGCCCCAGGTCTCATCCAGCTGAGATGCAGCCCCTGCCTGAATTGGGCTTCTTGTTCCCATCCTCACTGTGGCTGGAGGTACCATGTTGGGTATGAATTGCCACAGCCTGGGAAACCAGAGGGTACAAAGCTGGGGGAGGAGAAGCAACCACCCCAGTAACTCCTTTTGGCTCTTAGATGGATGCTGTGTCCAGTTCTGCCAAGGTTACCCAGTGCCAGCCTGCAGATGCCCAGTGTCCCAGTCCCAGGAGGGTCAGGGATGGAGCACAGCAAGAGGAAGGCTTAAGGAAAGCTGGGGGACACTGCTGAGGTGCCCAGGCACCTTCACACATCACAGCACTCATGGTCTGTCTTGACCATGTCCTGGCCTGACACTCCTGGCCCTGTGAAAGACTGGAGAAAGAGGCCAGGCTGCCAGGGGACCACAGGGGTACTCTTTTACTTATTTTCACATCTCCACAATTTGCTTCTCTCCATGTCCCAGCATTTTCCCCCATTCCAGCCATGTTTCTCAGCAAAGGGCTCAGCAGCACCAGGTGTGAGCAGAAGTCCCAGTCCCTTCCAGTTCACCTACAAAGCTCTTTATGGGGCAGCACGGACTGTTGGCACTCACCTGAACCTCCACTCCCTGTCTTCTTGCTCCCATTTGGACCCTTGGACTGAAGGGAATATTCTTTCTGGAAGAAAAGACAAGAGAGGAGTAGGAAAAGACTGTACAGATATTGCTCTATTACAGGAGACGATACATAGGAGGCGTTGCTGGTCCTTTGCTACTAGAGATTAAAAAAATGATTATTCTATTTAACTTCCTGATCAGGAGCTGTTAAATTTAATTGACATGGGGCATCAGATGCAGGAGGCAAGAGGCAGGCTGGTCCACATTCCACTGTGCGTGGTGTGTGTCCTTGTGCTTGTATGAGCACAGTCAGCCAGACCCAGTCAGCCATGGGTTAAACAAGGGCGGGGTTTGGAAGACCCCACACAGCTTTTGCCCCTAAACCAAACCTGTAATGGAGGAAAAGCCTTTAAGTGGGGAGGTTGTGCAGTTTTTCTGCTCAGACTGCAGCCTGCCTCACTGCCCATGTGTGCCCCATGTGTCCATGGCCAAACAGACTCCCTTCATGTCACCCATTGCCCCATGGCCTGGCTGCTCATTGCACACTCCAAAAATACCATTTGGTATTTTGAATGGAAAAAGAAATGATGCACATCTGTACTAATCCCCTTGGATCATCTTTGAACAGGCTTTGGTTCTGTGAGTTCACTGGAGATGTGTCAAAGGGGGAAAAGAGCATCAATCTAAACCTGCTTTGAGTTCCCAGGTAAGTGTAGTTATTGCTGGTGGATGTGGGAATGGAAACCATCAACACCTGCTTTTGACTGAGTAAAGCAAATCAGAAAAAGGCAAGCTAAATTTTCTGGATATATTTCTGTCTGATCTGCCCTGGTGCCTGATGGAGCACCATCTGGGCTCCTCTCTGCAGGAAAGTGAGTTTGTGGGGTGCTGAGGACCTTCTGTCCTAAACCAAAGGACTTTTCATGGCAAAGCTCTTTTTTCTGGGAGCTCCTTGCAGAACAATTATCTTTACTATCTGAATTAGTTGGCAATCTCACCCTGTGCTCCTGTGTCTTTGGGATTAACAAAAAGCCTTTGTATGCCCCTGTAGCTCCCTGAAGGTTACTGTGTGAGGGCAGTTGATTGCTTGGTGATATTTACTTGGAGTGGCTCCTGCAGACAAGGAGTTGCGTCAGTCACCAACTGCCCCCGTGTTTCTAATGAGTGCTGGGAAGAGGAAAGACCACAGCAGGGCCCTTGTTACTGGGGCTGTACATTAGACTGACTTTTAGCTGCTGAGTTACTGTGCTAGTGATGCTGGCTGCTGGCTGTCATCTCTTTAGCCAGTTGCACCAGGAGCTTTATGGTGTGGACACATCTCCTCTGTGTTAAAACAACCCCGACATGTCAAGTGAGTGCCCAATACCAACACTGGCTCTTCCAGGGATGTGTAATGCTGATGCAAATACAATGACAGCGAGATAACGCTGCCGCCGCGATGGGCTCGCTGTCTGCCTGACTGAGGGGCCTCGGTGCAACTGTGAGTGACAAAGCAGACAGCTCTGCCTGGTCCTTCCTGCCTGGATCTTTATTAAATCTCCAGGCTCAGCACAGGGTTGGGAGTGCAGCATTGCTGCCAATCAGGCTCCTGGTCTGCAGGCAGAATTTTGGCTCTGCTAAACTCACCCAGGGCTGGTCTTGAGGCAGAGAGTGTTTTACCTCCTGCTGCAGGGAGGTTCTGGAGGCTGGTTAAACATTTCCTCTGCTGGGTTAATGCTAGATGTTGGCTGAGGTGCTGCTTGTGGTGGTGGGGACTGGCTGGGCAGCCCAACCTTCCCTCCCACCCTGTGTGCCCCGGCCTCCAGCACAAACTCTGTGCAATCCCATTACAACCTCAGAAGTCGTGCTGGTTGCACTGTGGTGGTGACCTTGGCGGTGGCCAGGCTGAAGCAGGGGTTGTGTAGGCTGGTCAGAGCTATGCTGGGTCTCTGATACTGTGTCACCTCTGTAGCACAGTGTGTCTGGTGACAACTCCTGCTAATCTCCACTTGAGCCATTAGTGTGTTTGCAGAGCAGGACGGCTCCTTGCACCTCCCAGGCTCACAGGGGCAGTTAATAATTGCCCAGATGATGGAGACTTTTGCCTGCTCCCCATGGGACAAAGCAGAGTATGGGACTCTGTCCCCAGACAACTGGGCAGGGGAATGGGTACCACAGGAGTCAGAGGGCTAAATTTGTCACAGTGAGGGCTCAGATGGGGAAAGTGTTGCAGTAAATGGGCAGAAAGTGCCTGCTATTTCCCCAAACCCCCTGTTTCCATGTGAAAATCACTTCTGTGTGGTGTGACTGCATCTTGCGAGGAGTAAGAAGGCATAATAAAATCTAAGCATCAGATGGTAACACTCTGCCCCTCTGCAGGCGAGCAGGACAGTTTTGGAGTCATTGCTGCTGGGAGCAGGTACCACTTCCAGCCTGCAGCCAAGATCCTCCGGCGTGGGATCCCCATCCTGCTTTGACCCTGTCAGTGAGGACAATCACCACTTGAGCTGGAATTAGCCTGGTGATTAAATGGGTTAAATGCCACAAAGCAACACAATGTATATATAGTAAGTAGTCCCATGTTTTGCTTCTAAAGTAACACAGTAACGCTGTTCTGTGCTACTCCCAAACATCCTGGACACTGCTGTATCCCAGCAGGACTCTTCCTGGCCCTGACTCTGATGCACAGCAAAGAGCTCCTGCAGCAAATGTCTGGAGGTAGTTTCACAGGTGTAGGCTGCTTTGAACCACAGGTTCTAACCACCATCCTCATTCCTGGCTCCCTGCTCAGGGGGTGCAATGCTCTTACTGCAACTTAAAGCCAAACACCCTGTGTAAACCATTAATCAGTGTTTGTTACTTGTCCCACGTGTGGGTACTCTAATATTTACTTGCAGCACAGTCGATAGTAATTTTGAACCATGTTTGTGTTCTGATAAAAGCAGGGAAATGAGCCATCAGTGTGGTCAGAGCACGAGCCATGGAAGGGGTGATGAGGATGGCTTCTGGCAGGTTCAGATCAATACAGGTGTCATTAAGGTGCAGTATCAGAGCATCTATATTGTATCTGTAGCCAAAGTCTGAGCAAATGAATTAGGCAAGAAATTGCAGCAATCTGATCGTGGTGATAAAGAGGTATTAAAGTGGGCAAAATGCCACCCAGGCTGAGAACTGATGTGACTCCCACAGACCTGGTTTTGGGAGGGAGATGCCATTAGCAGGGTCGGAAGTTGCTCAACCTATTTAGGAGTAGATGGGCTCAAAGAGCTGCTTTGTCCCTAAGGTGCTGTAGCAGCTGCTGACATCGGTGTTCAGTGAATGAACACATCCATTGGTTAAAATAGTCTTATTGCTTAACCCAGAGGCTTTGAAAGCAGTTGTCATGACCCAGAACAAGGCACTGGTGGTTGGTAGATTGAAGCCAGCATTTCTGTGTGTGATGAAGCCACAACATGCGATTTACAGGTTATCCCAATTGTACTCTACCTCTGTTTTCAATTAGCCCCAAATACCCTCTTGCTGCTCCTGGTGCTCTGTATGAAAATGTCTCTTATATGCTTCTGGATGCTGAGATACCATCTAAGCTGTTGCTCAAATTTCCTGTGTTATTACTGAATTCTGGTCTATCTGTGCTCATTTGCAGCAGCTGGGACTGATCCAGAGACTTCAATGAAATCATCCACTGGAAGGAACTTTGGAGGATTAGTAAGACTTTTTCCCATCTGTGATGTCAAAGCACAAAAATCTGTCAGTTTGATTGTTTTGCTGCAAAGTCCTGCCAGTGAGGTGTTGAGGCTTATTTGATTCAGCAGGCTGGTGCACATGTGTGCTGGGATGACACCGTCTTTTTATCAAGGAGAAACAGAGAAAATCACCAGCATGCCCCAACGCCTCATACTGCTGCTGATTCCCTGATGGCCTTGGACAAATAAAGTGCTGCAGTTTGGATGAATTTCCAGAATTTCTTGAGGGTTAGGAGAGGGAGTATAACACCCTGTTCCCTCCAGAGCTGACAGACTGGACCTTGTCTTCCTTGTGGAGGTCACGACATAGCTGCTGTCGGGGCTGTTGTGAGAAACTGCCTGTACCTCTCTCTTGCAGAGGGAGAGCAATGCTGTTTGGGAGGGTTACTCCCTGATGGGGAGCTTGACTGTGCACATTCCTC